CCATGCCATTTGAGAACAGGTGGGAAAACGAAGCTGTTTACTGGAGAAGAGATTAGGTGGGAGGAGATGATGAAGCTGAGATGGAAACAAAAGGAAATGATGGATGTCTGCAAATATTTAATGTGTGGCTGCATCACCTGATATCCATTCTCCCCCCATTCACAGTATGGAACCCTCAGTTTTTAGCTGGATGCATGGCTACCCCAAATAAAGGCTGCATTTTCCACCTTCTTTGCAGTTGGGTGTGACTCTAAGTTCTGGCCCTGGTCTGTGCACACACAGGGTGTATGTAACTTCCAGCTTGAACCTTTGAGTCTCCCCTCCCCCAACATACCTCCTAAGTAACCCACCTGTCCTATGGAAGATGGGTCACAATTACTCTAAACCCCAAGTTTTGGAACTAGGAAAAATATATGACAAATTTCAGGAGGGTAGATTTCAGATCAATATAAATAATTGTCTGATAGGCAAGATTATTTGGAGAGAGAGGGGGCTTTTCCAGGAGGTGGTCTTCCTTAATTGTAAGGGGTCAAGCATATGCTAGATGGGAACAGTGTTATAAAGAAGGTGCCAGTATAACACGCAAAGTTGACAATGCGCTCTCACTGGTCCTTTCAAATTGTGCGATTGTATGCTCCTATGAAGTCCAAATTTCAAGGCATTTCTGTTGGCCCAAAGGAGATACTAGAATCTCACTGAAGTTTATTTTTCTGAGTCCTGGTTTAGTACAAATCCGTAGAAAATGTAAAACCCTACAGTCATCCTAGGCTATTTCCTCAGCACCAATCCCTCCTCAACCAGTTGTTCACTGAGTTTTATCAGTTTTACCTCCTCAGTATCTCCCAAATCCATTTCCCTTGTCCAGCCTCACAGCCACTGTTTTTTGTCCATCATTCCATTCCAAAAATACTTCCTGAATGCTTGCTATAGGACAGCACCATGCTAAGCACTGAGGACATGATGCTGAATAAGACTTAGTCTGTGTCTTCGAGGAAGAGATAAGGAAGCAAATAGAAAGTTACAGTACGATGTGGTAAACGTTATGCTATGCAAGAGACATAGAACACAGCCTGGGAGTCGGGGCTGGGAGGAGAGATCAAGGAAGGCTTCCTGGAAGAGGCAACACCTGAGCAGAGTCTTCAAGGCTAAATTACCTCAAACTTCACCTCCTTAGTGCAGTGTGTCCGACCTCCACCCCACTGCACCTTCTACATAGCTCCATTACTGCTTATATTCTACCGTGTGATTGTTTACCTTCCTATCTCCCTTCCTAGATCCTAAATTGCTAAAAGAAACTATGAGTTTTATTGATAATTATGACCTCAGCCATGACCACACGACTAGCAGATAGGAAGCATTCAGTAAATGTTTACAGAATTGATTGGTTTTCATTTTAGTTTTTAGTGAACAACTCTTAGTCCTAGTGAAGGAATCGATCCTCCTGACTTCTTAGGGTGTGTGGTAATCCACAGCACAGTTCCGCATCTGCTTTTGAGAGTTTCTGCTGTTCCTTCCCGTCAGCCTGACTGAGCTTTCGCTTTTTGTTCCATCCAGCGTGTGTAACTTCTCGAGAAGCCTCCTTAACCATGACTCCCATAGCTTCCCTCCCTGGGAAGCCGCGTGGGCCATGGCTACCTGGACAGGGTGGGCTGACAGGACAGGAGCAGGGCTGTACTGCCATCCCAGCATCCCCTGTGGGGAGCCATAGTCATCGGCCCCATGGAATGACTGACTGGGTGAGCGTGCTTTCATACCTCCATCTCTGGAAACAATGACAGGGGCTCTGAAACCTGTTTGAAACCTAAACATCGTGGCTTGACTTCTTCTAAACTGGTCTCTGTGGGTAGGTTAAAACGATCAAGTTCGAATTTCCAACTATTTCTCTAAGTTGGACCAGAGTGAGGCAGTGGAAATTCATTACTATGCAGTGTTTCCCAATGTCTGAAGCACACTCCACCTGGGTTTTGCAAGATGATTCTACATGGTACACTTGTGAACATGTTTTAGTTGAGAACGTATTTGTTTAAGTTGAATGACCTATTTGAATAGTCATATATGTATTTACAGTTACCTCTTATTTGGGGCAAGTAAAAAAGTATGCTGATTTAAATTCTTTGTTAATGTAAATAATAACATAGATGTTCTTAGAGGACTTGGGTTGGAAAACATTGTTATATCACAGTCTTCAAGTTTCATGCCAACCAGTAAAGATTATGGCAGCAGAAATGCCAGAGCTGAAAGAAACCTTGGAGGCTATCCAGTCCAGTTTACTACTTTATTCACTTAACAAATATTTTGGGGGCACTTACCATGTATGAGGAGCAGAACTGCAGTGAATCCGAGAGGGACAGCCTAGAGGGAGAAACAGATATTAAATCTACAGAAGAATTATAATTATGACAGGTTCTGTGAAGAAGTAAAGAGTGTATGAGACCATTAACAACAGGATGATGTTTCAATAAAATCATAAAGGTTCAGGAGAAATGAAGCAGGCAGAGCAGGGCTCGGGGTAGTAGGGGCAGGTGGTGGGAGAGAAGAGAGTGTGTGAGGTCCTTTGAGGGCACGTGTCTGGAGTAAAGAAAGACCTCAGTCCCCCACTCTGCAGATATCTGTACAGATCACCCGTGGTAGCTAGTTTCAATCAGGATCCATCCAGAAACGGAGGCCCAGGAAGTGAACTAGCCTGACGTTGGTCACACACCCTAAGAGCAGCAGGGCCAAAGCCTCGGTCCATGCCCTCAAGAGCTCACACGTTCACCATGTGCTGATGTAGTGCCCCGCGTTCAGACCCTGATCTGGGTGCTGGGGACCCTCCAGAGAACAGAACAGACAAAAGTCCTGCCTCGCAGAGCCTCTATTCTGACATGGCGGAGACAGTCAACAAACAAGTCAGTACCAGCACGCCAGTGCGGGAGAAGTGTTTCAGAGAAAAGTGATGAGGGCGGAGGTTGATGTTTTGTATGGATGACCTGTAGGGAGTTGGGACTAAGCGGGTCTCTGGACCACACTGAGGGCTGTGTCCACCACTCCAGTCTACTCACAGGTACTCAGGCTCGTTCTGCTCTCCCTGTGTTAAGAGCAGATTCGATGCCCTTAACTCTAATTATATGCTGTCAGACAAAACATTTTAATGGGAAACATAGTCTCCTAGGTATGACCCAGGAGGGATCTGCTAGAAGGAATCTCCTCCTATGAATGCTGAAGGGCTTGGGGATTATAGAGCACCTCGTGGGTGTTTGGGGGTATGCCGCCATTTCCCAAAATGCAGCCATCTCTGGCTCTGGTAAGGTCCAGAGTGGGACCTGTAATCAGAGGGAAGCTTTCACCCTGAGCCCACGGTGATCCCACCAAACACGGTTTCCTCCCTGTGCACAAGGACAACAGCTTCTCCCTCCTTAACTGCCTTTTCAGAATACCAGTCTTTACTCAAACACACTAAGACCACGCTTTTTCCTTTGGTATCTGAAAAACGTTTGTGAAGAGGCACCAGCACGTGGATGTTGGTTTTCTGCTCAGTGATGATGTTTAAATTCCTATTGTGCTTCAGCAGCCTTTTGACTCTTCTGGGCAAACGGAAGAATTTGGGAAACAATCCAACAAATAAAAACATTGAATCCAATCACCCCAGAGTACTGTGGAACACAGATAAAATTTTATCCTTAAGGACCTAAAGTTGGCAAATGAACATTTCACAGCCCCTCTAATATCCGGCGTCCCTCAGTAATGGAACACGTAAGAATGCTTTGTAACCAAGATGGAGACTCCCAGCTCTGTGGAAGTACAGCACAAACTCAGCTGTGAGGGCGCCTGATCCTGGAAACCACCGAGGGCCCTGAAAGTGGGGCAATGAGAGGCCGTGGGTGCACCACTTCCTCTCAGGTCCAGGGGAGAGCCAGGGGGTAGATTCCTGATCCCCAAGATGCCAGCTCTTCCAAATGTTTCTCAACAAAGAAGGCTGCCCCATTACTGATGGCCTAGGAGCCTGCACTGGGAAGCCCTAAATCAACAGCACGAAAAGAAGACAGAGTCCCCCAGTCTCCCCACTGCCAATCCCCTCCACTCACCACACATTTCCCTGCCTGTGGATTTGTGTAATAATGAGGTCCCCAGTAGGATAAGACATGGAGCCGCGGAGCGTTGCTGGGGAAGGCAGAATGGAGAAGGGGCAGAGAACAAAGAGGTAATTTTGGACTATGAGATAAACCAGGAGACGATAGTCCCAGGTGAACAGACTAATGACCATGTGATTGAAAAGAACTGGATGGTGGGAAAGCAAAGTAGAGAGGAGCTTCCAAGGATGAAATCCACAAAGGCCTTCGGGAAGCCCCGCCTACTCATATCACAAAACACCAAGTCCTGGTGTTGTCTGTGTGCAGCAGAGGCACAATGGGTGCTTTGTGGAAGCAAACTGGCCATCACACAAATTGCTGTCTGAAACTGCCCGTGCCTACAATGCCGAGGCAGGATCCGTTTAATGCAAAACAATGGTCAGGCAATATGACTCATTCAGCTGAAGGGCTAGCTGTGTGGGTAAGGGTTTTAGATAGTAAGGGAAGTTTCCTGTGGTGAACACTGAGCGGCCATTCAGACTTCTATTTGGCCTCTACCAACTTTCTTAATTGTATGGTGCCCGGAAGGAACATAATCAGCTTCGGCATCACTTCAACCTGGTTCATTGTAGTCTGTGTAGCTTGGGTTATCTGTCAAAGGTGTTTCTAGTAAACCATTCCAAGCAGTTAGTTTACATGTGTGTCCTGTTTGATCTGATCTGGTAGTTACCCATTGTACTCAATGAAATTCTAGCATACTGTCCTAAAAAGGACATCCAGGAGAAAGAAACACAGCTTATTTCATTAAAATCAAAATCTATTAGGGGCTAAGTTCACACTGGGCATAATTAATAATCACCAAACCCTTAAGTAGACAGTAATCATATACACGGCAGCTATGTAAGTCTCAATAACATTATATTGTATCCCAGAAATCTGTCATTTTCTATGCACAAATATTACATGATTTAATTCTGGTTATACGCCTTTAGATTAAACTCATGCAATGCACTTGGGAATGACAAAACATGTTCAGGCTGAAAACATTCTTTGAAACTACAGAAAATGTGCATATTAGTGACAACTTACCTCCAAAATTTTATTACATTAAAGTCCTCTATTCTGAATCATCTAATTTGCTGTTAGTACTATGTACAAAATTTTAAAAAGGAAATACACTGCTTTAAATTGATTTCTGGTTGTTCTCATTATATTTCAAAATAACAGTCAAATCAATCCACTTGGCTTCTTGCATTACTTAATGCTTTCCAGAAATTGTTTAATCCAGGAAAGAATAGCCAGTTCACTGACGGCTTTGTAGATTCCTTTCTTTCCAATCTGCGGATAAAGTGGAAATATTAGAAGCAGAAATATTTCACATTTTAAGAAACAAAGCATTCAAAGACAAGAATTTGGAATACTTACCTCATAAAATTTTCTTTTCATCCTGGTAATGGATTTCATTTCTCTAGCTGATGAAGCACAGGAAATCTAAGAAATCAGAAGTAAATACAGAAAATATTGTTGAAAAAGGGCTAATAATACTCACTCTTCCATTCACTCAACCAACATTTTTTGAGCAGGTATAATGTACTGGGCATGATATACACTGGCAAATATATAGTACCTTGTCTCTGTCCTCACAGAGCTTATAGTTTCATGGGGGAGAGAGATGATAAATAAGAAAACAAATGAAAAATTTAAATTTCCAAATTACAATTAAAGCTGTGTTTGTAATGCATAAAATCTGATAGGAATTTACAGCTGCTTTCAATTGGGTGGTCAGAGATGGTTCTTTCAAGGAATGACATTTAAATTAAGATCTGGAAAAGGAGAAGGAGCCAGCTATATGAGGAAGTGAAGAAAGAAAATAGGGGTTTGGGGAGGATGCAAAGGAGAGAATAACTCAGGTAACCTGAGTGAAAAGTGTGCAAATGTCCTGAGGCAGGAAAGACCTAGTGCTTTCCAGAAACTGAAAGAAAGAAAGCATGGCTGCAGCAAGAGAGATATGGGAAGCATAGGAGATGTGAGAATGACAAGAAAAAAAATTATTTTTTGAAAAATCACCCTGGCTGTTATATACGTTGCACAGTACAATATTCAGGTGTTGATTGCCAGGAGAAAGCAACAGGAAATTAATATTAGTTTCTAAATTAGGAGGAGGAGCAAACTAATGTCTTGAGAAGATGGCTTGTACCTCGGCAGGGGGGGAACTGCCAGTCGCCTTTGAGGAGGTGAATTTTCAAACCCCATCTGAGCACAAGAATTGCTTAGGAGTCAGGTAGGAGGAAATTCTTCATCATCCTTTTTACTCCACAAATTTCCATAAGGTTAAATAGAGAAAAGGGAAGGGAAGAAAAAGGTGAAAGTGTCTAATTTATCTACTTAGCTTTTACTCATAAAACCTTAGCGCTGGAATTGACCAAGGACATTATATGGTTCAATTGTTCTCAATTTACATAAAAGGAAACCAAGGCCCAAGGTGTCCCAGGATGTCCTGACCTCGTGATGAAATAGTGTCGGTGCATCAATAAAGATAATACGTAATCAAAACTCGAGAAATGGAAGCAGCTAAATGACAACACCTATTAAAACAAATAAAACACGGCCAACATCAACCCACAGGTCCCTTTAGACCAGAACACAGAAGAGAAGAGGGGACAGGGGAGGGGCAACATTCAGGTCTTTCTCTTATCAAGAGAAAATAACTGAAACGATTTGACAGTTATCTCCTGAATGCTGTTGCAGGGGCCTGAAGGTGGTGATGTTGTCATGACTCTGCCCAAGTGGAGACTCTACCTTCAGGTCAGACCCCGCGTAGGAAGAGATTCTTCCTGTGAAAGGGGCTTTCATGATGAGGCACAGAAGAGCTGCAGACACAGAATACTCGGGTGAAGGCTTAGTCTGCAGGACTCACAAGTGCTGGACCTCCCTGTGATAAGAGCCGTGGATTTTTTTTTAACATCTTTATTGGAGTATAATTGCTTTACAATGGTGTGTTAGTTTCTGCTGTATAACGAAGTGAATTAGTTATATGTATACATGTATCCCCAGATCCCCTCCCTCTTGTGCCTCCCTCCCACCCTCCCTATCCCACCCCTCCAGGTGGTCACAAAGCACCGAGCTGATCTCCCTGTGCTATGTGGCTGCTTCCCACTAGCCATCCATTTCACATGTAGTAGTATATGTATGTCCACGCCACTCTCTCATTTCGTCCCAGCTTCCCCTACCCCGTCCCCGGGTCCTCAAGTCCATTCTCTACATCTGCATCTTTATTCCTGTCCTTCCCCTAGGTTCTTCAGAACCATTTTTTTTTTAGATTCCATATATACGCGTTAGCATACGGTATTTGTTTTTCTCTTTCTGACTTTCTTAGCTCTGTACAACAGACTCTAGGTCCATCCGCCTCACTACAAATCACTCAGTTTCGTTCCTTTTTATGAAGAGTCGGGAATTAAGAGGACACTTCCTCCCACACCAGATCCTGTGAGGCAAAAACAATGCAGGCAGCCAGTGTCAGAGCATACTTTCAGAAGGAATTCATTCCTTCATTAAACAAGCATTCATGAAGTGTCTACTAAGTGTCCGATCGTGTGCTAGGCACTCAAGACATAACAACGAGCAAAACAGAGTTAGTGAATAGAATAGTGGTGGACAGGAAAATCAACAAAATACAAGATCCATATTAGAAGATAAAAAATCCAGCAGTTCCAGGAGCTTTCCTTTTTATCCCAATTCCCCTTCATGTGAGGACAGAACTACTAAGAAGATTGTTAGATAAAAATAATAGCAGTCAACATGTATTTTGTTAGTATTATGTATCAGGCACTGATCTGAAGGCTTTAGTGATATTAACTCATTCAGTCCTCACAACAACCCTATGAGGTAAGTACTATTTTTATCCTCATTTTATAGATTAGGAAAGCGAAGCATAGAAGTTAAAATTCTGCCTATTTTCACATAGTAAGTGGCAGAGCTGAGATCTGAAGTATTCTGACTCCAGAGTCCAGGGGAAATGTTGGAAATGCCTCTAAAAGACTAAGCTGATTGGCAGAGAGAGAGAGAGAGAGAGAGAGAGAGATTTCAACCTGAAAATGGACAATGTGATAATAAACAAAAGAAGAAATCCTCTGTGCGTTTGTGTGTGCGCATGTGTTTCCCTTTGTTCATTTGTTTTTCAGATTGGAACTGCAAAAGCAAATTCTAGAAATACCAAGTCTAGTTCCAACCAAGTAGAGTAGCTATGGAAAAAATTTAGAGAATTCTGCCCTATGTTTTAAATGGAGAGTTTGATTAGACGCTAAATCCTTCTAGTCAGAAATTATCTAATATAAAAGTAATTGGCATGGACATATATACACTACCAAACGTAAGGTAGATAGCTAGTGGGGAGCAGCTGCATAGCACAGGGAGATCAGCTCGGTGCTTTGTGATGGCCTGGAGGGGTGGGATAGGGAGGGTGGGAGGGAGGGAGACACAAGAGGGAAGAGATATGGGAACATATGTATATGTATAACTGATTCACTTTGTTATAAAGCAGAAACCAACACACCATTGTAAAGCAATTATACTCCAACAAAGATGTAAAAAAAAAAAAAAATCCGTATGGAGGAAAAAGGTTTATTTTAATAAACTGTCAAATACTAAAAAAAAAAAAGTAATTGGCCCAAATCTTGCAACTGGGAAAACAAAGAGGACTTCACAAAGAGAATCAATATCTGCTGACTCCAATACACTCGATCAAAGTTCTTAGATGCGAAGATCCATCACAAAGCACCAAATAAGCAAGTCACAGGGCACAACATCAGATACGCTTGTGTCGAGCTTTAAAGATTTCACACGGAGAATGGGATACCAAAGAAGCCACCCAAATTCTGGACGTTACAGAAGCTGAATATCATGAAGGCATTCCTGCTGACTAGGCCCTCTGCCCAGAGAACTTGGGTCTGCAGCGTCTCCCATAGCATGGTGGGAAATACAAGAAAGGCTTCTGACTTCATCTAAGGTACAAGCTACCCCAAGAAGAGCAAGGAGAGTAGAAAAGGAGAAAAACAAGGTCGGGCAAAAAAACAAACAAACAAAAATCAAAACAACAAAAAAATCACTTAACAGTGCCAGTGTTGCCACCAGAGTTCCATGGGTTTATGGGATGCTTTCTAGCACCTTGACCCCTAGTAAAGATCTGATGCAAGAGGTTTTCATTTTCCTCACTTTTGTAAATATGTCTACAGACCCAGTAGGACAGCCTGATTCTACTGCTGTAATCTAGATGGCTTTGCTTGGAAGGAGGAATTTACGAAAGAATGATTTCCTTTACCTTATATTTCAGCGTATATAGTTCCATTTGCTGAAAGCAGGAGGCACAACCAAAGGGCAGCAGTTTTTTTCTAAGAATGGCTGAATGATTTGACAAACTCAACCAAAGCAGACACGATCTAGACTAGAGGCAATTTATTAGTAGGGCTGGAATAACCAGAGACAGGTTCAAAAAAATAAAAAAAAAAGTGTGAGATAGTCATGGAATAACAAACACAAGGCAACAGGCTAATCATTCATCATTAAGTCAATACGTTTTTATTGCATGCTTACTATACGCTAGGCATGAAATACTGTCTCTGCCCACATAGCAGAGATTTATTTAATTTATAAAAGTAACTTTCATGGTGAAAATTGCCTTGGGGCACAAGGGATGGCTCATAATCTACTGACAGTGAAGCAAAATTACAATACTAAGTGATAAATACTGTGATTTAAAACAAAGAAACAAACTGCTCTGGCGACGGAGCAGAGGCAACCCAACTGTGGGATGCCAGAAGACTTCCAGGAGAAAACAAGTGAGTTGCATCTTGAAGGGTGACTAAGATGGAGTGGGAGAAGCAGAAAGAAGGGACAAGTAGGCAGAGGAGGCACGATGTTCCAAGGCTGGAGAGAGCAGAGATGATTTACACACCCTTTGGGTCTCAGCTGAAATCCTCAGGTTCAATTATCTATGATATGGTCCCCAACCTCATATGTCAATTATACCCCAACCCCAACCTTATATGTCAGTTATACCTCAATTTAAAAACAGAATGAATCCATGCAATTTTTCACATGAAATGGTAGAGCTATGCCCCATAATTTTGACAGAAAAGTTATATATCATTAACCAAGGAATGAATTTGTCAGAAAAGAGATTCTATAATATTATAATTAGAAAATATACTTACCAAGATTAAAACCAATGATTCATAAATGATCTCTTTATCTTTCAGTTAAAGTAATACTGTAAATAAAACTCTGACATTAGGCACTAAAAATGTATTTGATTGTTTAAGAGAACCACTCCGTTGAAAATTGTTGAGAAAATGTAATTGGAAGAAAATTAGTGTTCTGTGTATGGAAAGCAATAAGAAAAGACAGTAACAATTTTACAGAACTACTACTTGTTAGGTGCTTTGATATATTACCTTACTTAATTCTTCTAACAACAACAAGATGAGATTATTGGT